CTGATGGAAGAAAAACGCCATGGTGACAAGCGCTATTTGGAAAATCTTAAAAAGAGGTAGTTTAAAGGAAAGTATTATCAGATAAGCCTAAGTTGTTCCAAATAGTTGTGTGGAAATCTGTGTTGATCTATTTCTGTAGATTACGAGCTTGCATCTTTCCAGAGATGACTTCTTTGAACAATTTGAACAATCATTCATCGTTTATAACTAGTTGCATGTGCTCTGGGCATGTGACAGGTCGATAGGTCACCTGAGATGACATAACAAATTTATTGTAGATATCCCGAACATTTGAAGTCTGAGACTGTTGACCTTATTCTGTTGTACACTATGAATTTCATAAATATTAAATCACACATTTCCCCAATACATTTAGGTCATAACTATTTATTCTAAAATGAAAGTAAGTGCCAGCTATTCTTGTGATATTTTCTTAAGAGCTGTTTAGAAGTGTGATTGTGAGGTAGAGCAGTTGACTACACGAGACGCCTTTCCATGAGATATCCATCGTTAGTTGTTATCCCACTCTTGACATAACAAAAACATCGGGGAAGTTTTCCAGTCGACATTTTCATCCTGTGTTTTTTCGCAGCAACCATCTGGTAGCTCACATTGCAGACTGGGCTGGCTTTAGTAACGGTGATCTGTTATTCTTCGAGAGTCTGTGGAGTTGTGTGTCCGTCTGTCAGTCCACACACTTGCACCAGCGACAGATGGGCACAGAATGTCAGCATTTTGCTACAAACTCGGGAGGAAAATGTTTGGCTAATTGGCAAAATTTATCAAGCTAGTTACAAGTGAATGGCAAGGACCTCATTTCCTGAGAGTATCTCTCGTGAGTGAAGGACTGTTCTTGGAGGATGGTTACTAGACAAATAATGCAGCATTTCACTCAGATTTCATGAGGTAAATGATGTTCGTGAAAGCTATGTTGCTTCAGGGTTTCTTCCTTTAGAACAGCTAATTACACTACTTAGTATTCCTGAAAATATCAATAAACACAATTAAAGTGAATCTTTGGACTGCAGCACAAAAAAAGACATTTTCTGTATATTCACTTGGGAGTAAGAAAATCATTTGGGGCTAATTTCCAGACAAACATAATTCCCTTATGCAAAACATGTCAGTGAGAGTTTTACGATACAATCGGCAATATTTCTGCCATATACATCGAGACCAAGTCTGTACATATAGACAAGTCCATTTTAAGAAGAAAGTTTGCAAAAATATAAAATACATATCAAAATATTTCAGTTGAATTAGAAGAAAGACATAGGCCAAGTCTGTACATATAGACAAGTCCATTTTAAGAAGAAAGTTTGCAAAAATTGAAATACATATCAAAATATTTCAGTTGAATTAGAAGAAAGACATTGACAGATTTTATTTATGAATTACAGACTATCTGTGTATATATTTTGTCCACTACTACAGATGTACTACCATGTATCATTACACACTCTCTCCTCCTGTTCTCCTTCCTCTTACTTAGCACACAACAAGTTGTGGGTGTAACCTTCAGGCCACAAAAGTCTATTTCAATGTAAGATTTTTTCCCCATTGTATTGTACAGTTTAGATTAGAATCAGACCACATAGGCATGGTATGGTTTCATTGTTTTCCCGAGGTTTTACACATGTGCGCCCTCCCTCTCACCCCCCTTCTTCCAGGGGGAGGTAGGTTAGTCTAAGGTATCCCACACTGCCTAGCCCTACTGCAGGTCTATACACAGCTGCTTCCACTCACTGAATAATAGTTCCTCCATCATGTAAACTACACTTACTCTCGTGCCTAAAATACTCCTTGGAGGGAATTGGGGCCCCAAGCTTGATAGAATCATCTCCATTGAATTAATAGCATCAATTGGGGCCAATCACCCATGTTAAAATGTCAGAGTCAAACACAAGATGAGAAAGGTTGCAAACACCAAGGCCAAAGGCTGGGGTGAAACTAGCTTCTTGTGATTTATGTAGTGTCTTTTTCTTCCCATTACGCAGTTATCTATGGGCTGGGGCTTGTCTGTGGATTGTTCAACATGCCACATGGACCAAGGTCTTGTAGCAGCAACTTGTACTCTGATAAATGGTGTGTTTTGGGAAACACAGCCGTGATAACACAATTGAACAGCCATTACATAAATAACATTACACAAGATAAAATATTTGGGTGATGTGTTCAAATGCCAGATACATTGCTGGCTTCTCTCTCTGTTGGGTGTAAATTTCCAAGGAGATTTTCACGACCTTTACAACATTTTTAACGATAGTCATGAAATGGGTACATTGTGTCTTCGTATAACCTGTCTTTAGTCAGCACATGTTATAACCCAAACTGTCTCAACAGATGGAAATAAGGAACAGGTATTCTTGTTTTTCTGGAGAAATATTTTGTTGGTCTGGACCAGACCTCTTGGTGATGATGCAACACAATACCAAATCAACAATTGATACCCGAGACAGCAAAACATAGGCACCGTTCAAGGAACACCAAGTCGATATTCACTAAACTTTAATCTAATTTTAAAATGATGCAAAATTATCAATTATTTACAAATTGTCCTAAAAAATATGCAAGTGTTTTTATTCTAGTGTATCATAATGTACCAATGCCTGGATGCATTGTTCCAGGATTGTAAGCTGGTTCCTTGGGAATACTGGACTAGGATTGGTCTATCCAATCAATGTATGTTATAAAAGACACCTTCATGAATCAGGTAGTCAGGTGACTTTGTTGCTTGCATGTCATAACTTGAATCATCGTTGCTCACCATCACTGGATTGTCTGGTCCTCGTAGAAAAAATCAAGCAGGTATCAGTGAATTCAAATACATCTACATCCAAATAAAATTCTGTACACAGAAGTATCTGAAAAATACATAATCTACCGTCATATCTGCTAAGATTAATTAATTGACCTGTTGACATTTATTCATTATTAAGAAGATGCCTGTTAGCAAGGAAGTAATTTGTAAGTAATCGAGTAATAAGCATTAAGTATTGAATGCTCATCGGCCGAATGACCTTGACGTTTTGAACATCCTTCCCATGTAACCATCCTAGTCGATAGTGTATTAAACAGGCGTGATAAGTACAGGAGATTGCCTTGCCATGATTGGAGGATTCCACCAAGTTTCACTTATGAAATTACAGCCAGAAATATTACCAGGACGGAAGAAGTGATCACCACTGACACAATGAAGGGATGTACGATCTGTGTCATAGGATATGAAGTGTCACAATACTATATCCTCAGACTGCTCTGAAATAGAATTCATATAAAATATTTATGATTAGGAAATTAGTATTGATGTCATGTCTCAAACATAAACTGTTGTCTTTAGTGATCATATGGATCAAATTTGTAGGAGTTTCCGGCAGTCACAAAAACCTTCCCCAAATGGTTAGAATATGTTTCGCATTGTGAAGGTGGGTCACAAGAAAATGAATGAGCTTGACCTTTTCGTTCGTTTATAGAAATGGCCAGACTTAATATATACTGTGGCAGCTTTGTTCAAACTTCATGCCCTGAACTCTTTATGAAACTGCAGCAAGATTTCTGAACATATTAACCTGCATATTCCCTATTGTTGCCACAGTCCTTTATCTGAATGAATTGAGAGAGAAATCTGTACAATAGACTTAATCCCCTTTTGCAATTTATGAGAAGGGTTCCCACCTTGGGACTGAAACGTTGATCAGAAACACTGAAATATAATATGGTATTTTTGTCTGAGTTTTGTGGAGCGTAGTGCAAAGGTGTCGACTTCATTTGAACATGCCAGTCGCACTCATATTGTATGCGGCAGTCTATGCAGAATGCTTTCCTCAAAACTAATCTCTTTAATGAGTTTTGGGATGGGAAAATGCTTTGAGAGTATTTTGAGATAAATGTACCATTAGCATGTAATTATATTGTACTCATATTGTGCACGCCAGTCCTCAGATATATGTTTCCTTAGAACTAATCATTGTCAATGAGTTTTGTGATGGAAAAATGATTTTTGAGAATTGTATGGCATTAACTATATGTATGTGGTATGTATATGGTAATTAGAGAGTACTCATATTGTGTACTAAAGTCTGTGCAGGAACCTGTAATATATAAGTAATATAGTCAAGGAGGTTTGGGGATGAAAATCTGGTTTGAGAATATTTTGAGATAAATATGCTACTAATGTGTACCATTTCGTTATTGGCAGTGAATTTAACGATAACGTGAAAACATTACAATGCTAAAACAGAATGAGACACCATTATTGTAACATGGTACACAAATTCAACTCTTTGGTAGTTGTTCTACAAGTACTATTAACAACTATGGCCCTAGAACTAGTTGTCATGCAAGTAGTTTCTTGACTCATTTGTTTTCAGATTAGCTGTACAACACTACTATTAACATATTGAGTCCTTCCCTTGATAGGGTTTAAGATGTCATGATTATTCATTATGTCAGTGAGACATTTTGCATATATGTGCCTTGCCATTATTTCAGATAGGTGCTGCAGAATGTGAAAGTAATTTGTAGTTATACATTGTATACAAGTTAGAGAACAGAACTATTTTTAGGAGACTTTCTTGGTAATGAAGACTGACCGTAAAATTTTATGTAAATATCCTATATTTTTTAAACCACCTATTTTTTGCACTTTGCACTTTTTTCACTCAGTGTTCTTTCATTGTCAGTTAGTCATATACTTTTATAATATAAATTATATAACTTATGTAGATAAGATATATAGTTTGTTTTTATCTCTGTTCAGGCAGTGGGGTAGCCTAGTGGTTAAAGCGTTTGCTCGTCACACCAAACACCCAAGTTCAATTTCCCCACATGGGTATAATGTGTGAAGCCCATTTTTGGTGCCCCTGCCATTATATTGCTGGAATATTCCTAAAAGTGGAACTCACTCACTCACTGTACAGTTGTATGATGCCACGACAACATGTGTTGATTGTAAGTTGTATATTATGAGATCGTAGTTAACAGTTTTATGTTTGTTACAGGTCCCCCCAAGATATCTGGGAATACATACCAGCGACATATAGCAAAGCTTGGTAAGAACACACGCCTTGAGTGTCCGGTGGAGGCAGACCCACTGCCACTAACCCAGTGGAAGAAGGACGGCAAGAACATCCCTCCAGGAGAGACGCGCTTCAAGGTGACCCCCGATGGACAGCTCCGGATAAAAGAAGTACAAATGAACGATGCTGGAAATTACCTGTGTAAAGCAACAAACGGCTTCGGACATATCAACATAAACTACACACTAATTGTTGTTGGTAAGTACCAGAAGTCAAGCTAGCCTAAACAATTGTCTGGTCCAGACTGATGGATTTAAGGTGCAGGACCCCATTCAACCAAACGATCGCAGTGCTGTAATTGTTGTAAGTCTTTGTAAGCATGGGAGTTACGATCACATTTGCGCTAAGACCACATGGCTGAGAGGCACAGTTGGTTTCTATGATTTCACTGTTGGCAGTAAACGGAAGAGTTTCACACAAAATAATTCCAAAGTCTGCTAACAAGTTGGTGATTCTCCATAAGAGATGCAGGGTTTTGTTGAAGGAAAAAATCTACCTACCCACCTGTTTTCCAAATGACGCATAATCAAAACAGGCCCTTCAATGTGCCTTTAAATGGATTGTAGGGGCGGCCGGGTAGCCTAGTGGTTAAAGCGTTGGCTCGTCACGCTGAAGACCCGGGTTCGATTCCCCACATGGGCACAATGTGTGAAGCCCATTTCTGGTGTCCCCCGCCGTGATATTGCTGGAATATTGTTAAAACGGCGTAAAACTAAACTCAATCAGTGAGTTAAATGGATTGTGCCATTGATGATCTAACTTGTCCTCATCTGAGACTAGCTGTTTATGTCATAGATTGTAGTAGAAAACAAACTTATCTTTATTTCACAAGCCTGTTTAGCTAGATAGTATAGCCCAGCTCCGGAATTGGCTGTTAAAATTACTTTAATAATCTAGAACAGTACATGTCATTACAATCACTGTACAATGTCCCCTTCTACCAAGGTCAATGCTACATTTTACCTGATATAAACGTGAAGTTATTTGTGCAGCATGGTTAAGATCTAATGTTTACAACTACGGTAGTTGCCCTGAGCCAGAACAGGTCGACCTTATTCTCACTATTTTTCTACATACGTGTATGAGGCCACCATGGTGCTACTGCCACCTGCTGGCTGATTTACATACCAACTGTGACCGACCAGGATCAGGGTCTTCATTAGTAACATAATCATCAGCAGGTCTGACACATATAATTGCATGATTAATTAAAGAAGGTCGTTGCCATGGTTGGGTGGGACCGGTACACATTCCGCTCCAACATTGCCACATTGGAGACTTCAAGGTCCATGAATTTTTTAGTATGCTTCTAAATAACAAACAGGTTTTAGGAATACAATATAAAAGGTCAGGGCATTATTGATTTACTGCTTTTGAAAGTAGATATATAGATACGTATGTGTACACACCAGTTTCAAGGAGAATTGAAATACTATATTGGGCGTGATTAATAAGTAATGTGAGTCGATTCGAAGATTCCATTTGGGAGTTTTTAAACAAAAACTGCAGATGCATCGCTTTGAAAGTTGTGGAATGAAATCGACTCTGTAAAAACCAGCTGGAATATATGACAACTTGATAATCTATTTATGACTTGCCATGAAAATTGATATGGAAAATTGTTCTGTGTGTTGACATGTGCAATGTACACGAAATGATGTATTAAGGATTTAAGGAGGAAATATTGCAATGACAAGTGCAGTCTGTTTGCAGCAGAGTATGATCTACATGGACTCAGTTATGTCTCACACAGAAAAGTTCAGTTGGTAGAAACATTCCCATAATGCTAGAGTAGCATGGAATTACAAATATGCCGTAGCTCTTTTTTTCACTCAAACAGAATGATCCTTGAAAGTTGAATACATTTGCATTATTTTGCCTATTCTCCACGGTTTTAGTAATGAATTAGAACAGTGTTAGGTATTTGAACATGAAGGATGTGGTATGTCGGCCCTTTAGGAAATCCCTAGCATAGATGTCCACTCGGGCAAAAGTGTTTGGCAAGTGTTTGGCCACCACTCCACGTAGTGGTTTGAAATCCTCTTTACAAACTAACATACACGATCCATTTGATTAGGACCCAAACAAGCCCCTTTTCTTGCATAACAGCCTCTATCTGAGTGTACTTGGTCACCATGTTTGTGTTTGACCAGACTGGTAATGGCTTTGCCCAGTGACAAAGTCATGTGACCCTTGACCCCTAACACCGACAAAGGCTAAAATCTGACAAGGAATTTTCTGTGAAAACATCCATTATGGCTTTCAGTGGAGAGGATTGTGTTGGGATGTTGAGGGCTGCTTCTGTGTGATGATTATGTCAAGTTATGCAATAGATTGTAGGTAAATATGACCAAGAATTTATAACAATCTATAAGCTTCCTGAGAAAGGAATATCATCTGTCACCACTATGTGTATGTGTAGATTCATTTTCAAAGCTCTATGGTAAATCCATTTTTGATCCTTGCAGCATGTTAGATATGTTTTTAGGAATTCCTGAATTCATAAATTTATTAACTCACTATGATACTTGAATACAAACAGCAGCTTTATGATCATTCAGAAAAACCACACAGTGGAACAATTTATTCCATTAATTATTTATTATTAATTTTATCAGCTGGAATAAAATCTCCCTCGGGTTAGGTTGTCACAGGTGCAGGTGCTTGCTTCTGAGTTCAACTTGTCAGAGAGGCTTTAGAGGCTGTTTATAGCGCAGGCCAGGGTATTTCTCTTGACCTGTATATCCTATCACTATCTGTGCACTTTCTATATCAACCTTGTCACATAAATCACAATTTCTCAAGTCAAATCACTACTCATTTTCTCCTTTACACTCTCTGTTAAGTCCATGTTGATTTATCAAGTAAAACTCACCTTCATTTATCAGATCAAATCACTAAGCATGGTGGCCTATTTGATAGGTGTTTTAAGATCACAAATTAATTTGTATTAAATAAATTACGAGTTGTCTGCTCCTTGGTGAAGGTCAGGAAAGGAAGTTGGTAATGACTCTATCTGATGTATGATGAATCATGATCTTAATATGCCAGTACCTGCCGTTGCCACCGTTTTACGAGCTCGGACTGTCAACCAGCCGTATATGTCAAGTTGTCACAGGAATTCCCTGCTTATGATTTATGTCCAGCTAGTTCCTGATTTGTTTCAGTGTATAAATCATGCATGCTGTCTTTTTAATTAAAACTAAACTACGAATAGGAGGCATTTGTTCATTTAGGTAATATCCTAAGAGGAACTATAATTACAATTTTGAATGTTCAATATTTAGTTAAGTACAGACCTGGCTGCTCTTCAACTAGCAAACTTTGATGCTTTAAGTAGGTCAAATTTATTTTAGTTCTAACAGCAAGATGAACGAGAGATATTTCAATCAACATTTCTTTGAATTAATCTAACTATGTTTCTTCAAGGCAACTTTTAGCTGCTAATAAAAAACTATGTCCAGGAAATTAACCATTGAAGGAGTAGGAAGTTTTGCCTGATTAAATTTCCGATTTTGAAAAAGTTAGGTTGCAATGATGAGGAAACAGATGTGAATTCTCAATTATTCCGTCGCCACGGTAGCGTTTGTCTGGAGGGATGTGCACTTTGTGAAATTTGAATATTGAGATGCCATGTCATGTTATTTCTTGTATGCATGCATGCATGCATTCATGCATTCACTATGTTGAAGGGTAAACTGCATGAAATATGTTCAACATTACACCTAAGTTACAGTGTCATAATCATTGACCAAATTCACTTGTTCAACAACATTGTACCTTCAAATAAACTCTTTTGCCCTAAATAAAATGATAATAAGAAACTTAACACACACAAAGAAATGTGTTTTGTATTTGGATACATTCGCTCAAACGTTTGAAATGTGAAAAAAAATTCTTCTTTGAATTTAATTATTAAAAAGCTGACAATTTTGTTAGATGTAATATTTATATAATTTAACAGTTTGATAAGTGAGTGAGATGTTTAATTATTTCATAAATCTAATTTTTTCGACAAATTCCTTCCAGCATCCAATGTCTTACCATCAGGGCTAAACAAGCCTTTATTCACTTGCTGGGTGGCCAATTTTCTAGCTTTCTTTGATTAAGGGGTTATCCAAATATCTCTGTCATGCTTCATAGCCCAGAGGGCAGATCAGTTGACTTAATTGGTGAGAAAGTTTCAACATACAACCCATCTTAGATGATTCCAATTGCTGGGGCCCCATATTCAATTCTTGAGACAACTGCCTTGTTATTTTCTTTCTATTAAACCGTTCCAAATTAAACAATTCTGACTGGAAGACAGTTGCCTGGTTAATAGCTGAAGAAATAACACGAATGACCACTGTCACGAGTGGATGATAGTTGACGTCTATTTTACAAACATCTGCCATTTTCCGGCAGATAGGCATCATAGTTATTCGCTGAAGCTTTAAAAAATCAATTACCTTTTAAAAAATTGCACAACTAATCTCTAGGTCTACAAAGTTTTCTTGATCGTACGTGAAATGGCTTTCCATTCTATAAATCCCTCCTTGGACAAAATCCATATTTCTTGAAAACCAACCCCAAATTTCAGCTGTCCAATAATGGACGTGCATTAAAGGATGGCAAACCTAAGTGCGTTTCTTTCATTTTGTCTTAAATGGTTTTAATTGTTATAAAAGTGTAGAGCGACAAGAGACCAACTTCAATATGGGACTTGCACTAGTCGTATTGGGTTGAGTCAACATGCAAGGCCTACTGGCGTGAAAGGGGGCAATCTTCACAAAATAGCAAGTGCTAAATCAGACCCCAACTGCTTATATATCACCAGTGTTTATTTGTAGAGTCATAAAGTGTGAAATTCTCGTCAATTAACAGGCCATTAGGAGTATTCATGAACTTCCCTTCTTTCCTGGTTAGGAATTCTTGGCAAATGGGGACTTATGAAGACACTGTAGATGGAAAAAAAATAGTGGAAAAATTTATTTGTTTGGGGTTTTATATAGGGTAAGGTTTAAGTGTTAGTGCATAAATTGTGAAGTGATATTTGTGTATGTTTCAGTGGAAAATGTTTATGGGTGTGACAAGCAGTAAATATGGTCATAAAATAGGTTTAGGATGAAAAATCTTTTTTCTCAATTTTTCATGATAGATAACACATTTTAAAATGTGTCAAGAAATACAGATTTTTTTAGGTACAACCACCAGCT